GGCAATTCTCCTGCCTCAGCCTCCTGAGTAGCCGGGATTACAGGCACGCACCACCATGCCCAGCTAATTTTTTGTATTTTTAGTAGAGACGGGGATTCACCATGTTGACCAGGATGGTCTCGATCTCTTGACCTCGTGATCCACCCGCCTCGGCCTCCCAAAGTGCTGGGATTACAGGCTTGAGCCACCGCGCCCGGCCATCTTTTTTCTTTTATGTTTTTTTTTAGACGGATTCTCAGTCACGCCCAGGCTGGAGTGCAGTGGCATGATCTCGGCTCACTACAGCCTCCTCTTCCCAGGTTCAAGCGATTCTCCTGCCTCAGCCTCCCGAGTAGCTGGGATTACAGGCATGTGCCGCCACACCTGGCAAATTTTGAATTTTTGGTTGAGATGGAGTTTCTCCATGTTGATCAGGCTGCTTGCTCTCGCATTCCCGACCTCAGGTGACCTGCCGCCTCGGCTTCCTAAAATGCTGGGATTATAGGTGTGAGCCACCACGCCTGGCCCTTATAAGTACACCTTCAGTTAAGGTGTTCACTTTATCTGTCTCAGAGAGTTTATTGGTAAAAATAAAAAACTAAATTTAATGAATACCACTGAGATTGCTAGAAGAAGAATTGAATGTTTTTCAGACTACTTTTGTTTTATCTTGTCATATCAAGACTTATTTTTCAAGGCCAGGCATGGTGGCTCATGCCTGTTGTCCTGGCAGTTTGAGAGGCCCAGGTGGGAGGATTACCTGAGCCCAGGAGTTTGAAACCAGCCTGGGCAACATAGTGAGACCTCATCTCTACTAAAAATCATTAGCTGCGTATGGTAACACATGCCTGTAGTCCCAGCTAGCTGAGACTGTAGTCCCAGTCCCTGAGAGGCTGAGGTGGGAGGATTGCTTGAGCCTGGGAGGTCGAGACTACAGTGAGCTGTGTTCGTGCCACTGCACTGTAGCCTGGGCAACAAAGCAAACCTACCTCAGAAAAAAAAAAAAAAGAACGCTTATTTTTCACTTGTTATCTTAAAGGAAATTTGGCTGCTCTACCATTTTTATAAAGGAGGCAACTGAATCGCAGAATGTTTAAAAGAGGCCAGGTGTGGTAGCTCTTGCCTGTAATCCTAGCACTTTGGGAGGCTAAGGTTAGTGGATCATCTGAGCTCAGGAGTTCGAGACCATCCTGGACAACATGGGGAAACCCCTGTCTCTACTAAAAATACAAAAATTTGCTGGGCTCAATGGCTCACACCTGTAATCCCAGCACTTTGGGAGGCTGAGGCAGGCAGATCACAAGGTCAGGAGTTTGAGACCAGCCTGGCCAACATGGTGAAACTTTGTCTCTACTACAAATACAAAAATTAGCTGGGCATGGTGGTGGGCTGCTTGGGAGGCTGCTCCCAGCTGCTCGGAAGGTGAGGCAGGAGAATTACTTGAAGCCAGGAGGCAGAGGTTGCAGTGAGCCAAGACCGCGCCATTGTACTTCAGACTGGGTGACAGAGTGAGACTCTGTCTCCAAAAAAAACAACAACAAAAACCCAAAAAACAAAAAAATTTGCAAGGCATGGTGGCATGTGACTATAATCCCAGCTACTTGGGAATCTGTGGCACAAAAATCACTTGAGCCTGGGAGGCGGAGGTTGCGGTGTCGAGATCGCGCCACTGCACTCCAGCGTGGGCGACAGAGCAAGACTCTGTCTCAGTAAAAAAGAAAAAAAAAGAATGTTTAAAAGGCATTGTCAGAGTAACACTGAGTCATGACTAGAACACGGGTATTCTATCTCATGAGCCAGAGTTTTCTCTTTTATTGTGAGGTCCTGTTTGTGACTGAAGACATTAAATGTAGAGTTTTGTATATAGTGGACAGTGAGTGAATTCTCTTGTCTAACATGCAGTTAATTCAAGTGAAATGTCTGCAGTTGGAGATGGAGAGTGTGTCACCCAAGATGACATATCCAGTCAGCATCTAGGCTAACTGTAGAAGCCAGTACTTTGGCAGCATTCTGTCTTTGTGCTTTTGCATGGTAAAAACTTTCATTTCATTCTTACTAAAGTTATGTGACATTGCATGCTCAGTGAAACTATTTAAGAGGTCAGAAATCAGTGGAATAGGATTTTGACAGGATACTGGTTTCCTGGGGCATTATAAATTCATAATACATATACATTTAATTTTCAAAGCTGGAAACTATTATCTAGTGGCAGTGTTCTGATCTGTTTTATTTCTAATATTATAAAATGATAAAAAATGATAAAACCAAATTAGTGGCCATTTGTACCTGCTTGGGACAACATGACTATATTTTGGACAAACATGACTATATCATTGTTTATTCATATAAAACAAAGCAATTCTATTACAATAAAGACAGTATATTAAAGACAAATATCTTATATTTCTTCCACAATATTTTAGTATTTTAGGCTCACTGTCAACACTTAGAAGCAAGTGAAACATCTGATTTTCACATTTGCAATATAAATATGTGTCCTGTGTGCTTTTAGGAAGGCATGACTCTAGCAAAATGTTTTTATTTGAGTATTAAATGAAAACATGTTGGTCAGTAATTAAGAAGTTGAACTGACATTGGAAGTTGTGATCTGCTATTACGAATTTTGATAAGTGGGCTAATATGAAAACAAAACATCCTCAAATGCATTTGTGTTAAAAACTGAATTGTTTGTATTCTCTAAACATTTTATTTGTATGTTTCAGGTTTGCTATTAGAAAGATAATGCTGTTGGAATTTAGGTAAGTTATAAGGCATTGCATTGATGAAAAAGATGACCATGTGACAAGCTTTAGCTACATTTTCTGTATATTTCTGTGAGTGACTAAGAAAATCTAAATTTGTGAAGATTTATATTTCTGTGATTGGCTTATTTTGAAATATGTGTATCACGGCCTTTATTTTCAAAGATAATGGCCCATTGTCAGAATAACTTGTATTTTTGTTTCTTACTTGTTAAGCTAGCATGTGCTGAATAATTTCTGAACTCAAACTTGGTTTCTCTAGTGATCAGTGGAAGTAAATTCGAGTGTGTTCTACAGCCATTTTTTTCCCCTGCCAGGCTAAAATGTTATCAAGGCAGCATTGCTTCAATCTAGCTCCTAGTACTATAAATATTTCAGACAAAAGATAATGTATGCCGGGCGCAGTGGCTCAAGCCTGTAATCCCAGCACTTTGGGAGGCCGAGGCGGGTGGATCACGAGGTCAAGAGATCAAGACCATCCTGGTCAACATGGTGAAACCCCATCTCTACTAAAAATAC